CGATTCAATCTTTTTACAAACATTTTTTTAAAAACTTATGAAAGAGGGATATTCTTAGAATCTAGCATTCTTTGAATATTCGAATAAGTAACTCTTGAGGTGCGCCCTTGAGTTGTTATTAGTTCATTCTTTCGATTTCAAAACATCCAACCCCTTATCTTCAACCTATTCAACCCAATTTCTGAAAGAATTAAGTTCTTGGAATCTCGCATTCCTTGAATTCTTGAGTGACAAGCTCTTGAGGCACGCTCTTGGGTTGCTTGTTAGTCACTCTTTCATCTTTCTCAAACTTCAAACCAATTCAAACCTAGTCTCTTCGTGGTTGTTACCACAAACTACACACGCTCTGATTCTTCATTGTCATTTGAATGTAAGATATGTAGGCACAAGATTGCGACGATCTTGGAGAGCACACTTCTACCTTTCTCCACAATTTCGTCCATACAATCCTCTCATCCTTTCCCATAGTCAAACTACGAAGCTCTGATTTCTCATTCTCGTCCGAATGAGCATACGTAGGCACAAGGGCCATAATCCTTGGCGAGCACCCTATCCTATAACCACTCATTTCACTCTAGTATCTTTAACATTTTAACCTACCAATTCTCCTTTACCAACGAGAAGAAAATAAGCAAACTTGAACAACTCTCATTATAAAATACCCTAAGAGGTTCCTGTTGAGTACAACGAATGTGAGGGGTGTTAATACCTTCCCCTTGCGTAACCGACTCCCGAACCCGAAACTTGGTTGCGACATCCCTGTTCCTATCCTTTCATTTCAAGAGGTTTTCTCGATATTTTCCTCTCCCGTTTATTTGGGATAAATAAAGTTCGGTGGTGACTCTTTCGAACCATATTTCTGCGCCTTTCGCGCGAGGATCGTTTCTACGAAATATCTCCGTGATTTTTCGAGGTGTGACAACGCACAATGTTCATCGTCTTTATTAAGTATTTTGAATTATTTTGAGATGAGATGAGAAGACTCAAAGGAAAACACTAAAGGGAACTGAAAACCCTAATGTTATCATACAATATGGCCCTAAAGTTAGGAAGAAAGGGAAGTCTACCTAATGTTATCATACAAATGATAGACCTAAATTTGAGGTCAAAGAAGGACTATCCTAATTGTTATCATGCAAAGGATTGAAAGCCTAATGTCTCTCATACTCCCACCTTAATCAGAAATTAATTGGGACTAGGAATCCTAAGGTATCATGTGAATAAGCACAAGTAAACACTATCCAATTCAATCAAAAATGAAAAAAAGGTTGAAACTTAAACAAGTCTCAAGAAGAGAAAAGATATGAAGAATGAAGAAGATGCAATCAAGATGAACAATCATGGAAGTCCAAAGACAAGAAGCACCAATCACACACATCTCAATCATACAATATGAACACCAACATCATGTCAAAACAACAAATAAGAATTCACATGTCAAACCATATTAAAAGATTTGAAATCAAAGTACAATGGCAAAACAAAGTGCCCACACACACTCAAATGACATAAACATGCTACAAGAAACAATATCAATCATAAAGCAAAGTGAAATTAAATTAAATGAGACAAGAAACATGGTAGGTTAGTAGAAATATCACACCATATCCAATCCATGTCAATGATCAAATAAGAAGCACAAAGAGTCAAGTCATGCATCCCATTCATAAACAAATCAAATGCTACACAAAGCAAGCATACAAGACATAACCACAAAGGAAAAGACATGAGATTAGGACATGAAACCAAGTGTGGGAAGTAATATTAATATGAATATAAAGTCAAAGATTCACTCATGAACACATAGTAGAAACATCAAGGTTTAAATTCAAAACATGCATCAAAAACAAGTTCATACACCAAGGTCATTCTCAAATCTAGGAGGCACTCAAACAAGAACATACATGACAGTATCAATCCATCAAGGTTAGAAGAAAACTCAAATGATATTCATATTTTTCATATTCAAATCAAAAAATCAAAGTCAAGAAGAGACAAACTCGAGTTGAAACACAAAAGTCAAGCAAACACAACTCACGTTATTCATAAGAGAAGTGCATGATCATGTAAGGAAAATGACACAAGGTAAGCATACAACGGACCTTTAAAACATGAAAAACAGAACCTTAAAATTTTTGAGAAAAGAAAATAAGGACCATCAAAAATCCATTGAATCATCCAAGAAACAAATTCAAAAGACTAGGTCAAGATATGCACAAAATCACGATCAAAGCAACAATAACTTGATGCACCATACAAAAATAGAAAAAAGGTCAAATAAAATCCAAATAGGCATTCAAACTCAAGTCATGTGTATTAAGAATCAAAGTATTCAACTAGTCGAGCATATTTCGAGGGCCAAACAAAACCAAAAGAGAAAATAGAAAAAACAATAACTCATACAACATCCTTATGTTTCCAGAAGTTCAAATGTGACAATCATGTGCCCAAAAGAGCAAAAACAAGAGAGAAACGAATGGAGAAAGTTGTTACCTAAGTGGAGCTTTTATGGGTTCTGACCTTCTATCAAACCTTTACCAAACTCTACCTTTTTCTTCCTTATACCTTGAGGATGATGATGGGAGCAAAGAGATGAGTGGATAATCCTTATAGAGAGAGTTTCGAAGAGTGGAATATTTGTGAGAATGAGAGAGGGTGTTTGTTATGGTTGGCTGCAGAATGAGATTATGATGTTTTCTAAGGTTTCTTTTTGCATTTATATGACGACTTTGAATGGTTAAAAATAGTGTTTTCTAGGGTTTACTTGTGGTTAATGATTTTTTTTAAAAAAACTGGAGGTCATGGTGTGGTAGTACGAAGGTGCATGGTTTGTGGTTTGTTTTTTGTTTTCCTTTTTTGAAAAAAAGAGGGTCAGAATGGAGAGGGTGGAGGAACAACCTTGTTGAGCAAGTTTTCATACTTTTGTTATCTTGCTCTACTTGGGAAAAGATTTCAAAATGGATACACAAGGTACACGACTTGGTTTAGCTACTTATGGCAATGTTTTGGTGAGGTTTTGTGACCTATTATGCGCCTGAAAGTGATACCAAACTCATCTTGCATGAAACGTTCATGTTGTATGAAATAAAAGTTCAAGAATGAAGCATTAGAACCAAGTCACATGGCCAACTTTGAACAATAATATCTTGATAAATAGGGAATATCATTGGTACCTTTGAAGTTAATGCATAGATTTATCTTCTGATGTATTGAAGCAGAATTGACACGCTAAAAGTGCCTAACCAGATCACCACACTTTGGCTCCTTAGACCAAACTTCTTCAAAACAAAATAAGTACTTTCTTCTATCTTCATAAATCTCTTTTTGAATGAGAATTCTCAGGGCAGCATGGTCCAATCTATATCTCTACAAGTGAACAACCCTGGTGCGAGGGAAAAGCCTTTTAAACTCAAAAAAGCACAAGCTTTGTTGATCGCGACTTTCTATGTCTAATACAACTAACTGCAAGTGCACAGTCTATCGCGTAGTAATAATAGATATCGATCCCACAGGGACTCGTAATCAAACTAGTGTTCTCGGGAGTTACTATGTTTAGCTAGGTAGAATATGTTTAAGGGAATAATATTTGTCACTAAAAGGGAACTAATAATACTATTTAGATTATAATTGATTAAATCGATACGTAGTAATTGTGTTCTTCAGGGATTTGATAAGTTATGGTGTATGAAATAATTTTCAAAGTTTATTCAAGCAGAAAATGGAGATTTGAAAACTCTCGCCTCACGATGGTTATTGACGCTAATCATAATCCTAAGGGCCAAACGTATACTTTCGTATTCCGTTCGGGGTTAAAATTATTTTTTGGAAATCTCTAGATTCTAATTCGTTTTAAAGTGCTTTCGCTGTTATTAAAACAAATGCCTAGTGTTTACTATCTGACCTTACCGCAGCTTTCGCTTGTTGGTTCGTATCTTAATTAATTTCCCACTTTCGTGGCAAAACTACTTTTAAATAAGTTCTCGCTTTCGCGACGAAGTTTATTCAGTGAATCAATTTTAAACACTCAGACCATAGATTACTTTTGTGAAAAGAAAGTTTTCAACCAAGTGTTATCAAATCCCATTCGAATTATTACTACATATCGATTACCTAAGTTTAGCTAGACATGGAATTGGGAAAGACAAAATATAAATAAGAATAATAAATGATAATTTGCATTATAATAAAACTGAAGTCGATCAAAATGAAAACCTGTAAATATGCCAATTGGCCTTTGGGCAGATCCTCCACAGATGTTGGCAGGATTCTGGTCTTTAGTGCCAATTTGATCGTACAGTACAATAGAAATTACAGAAGAGCGGAAATGGGAATAAGGAAATGTAAAGAGAAATAAATACAAATAAAACTGGAAAGTAATTGCTTTGGAAAGTAAATTTGGCAGCACTTCGTGGTATGAATGCAGCACCCTTTCTGAAGTCCCCTGCTTCCCTTTTTATAGAAGTGGAATCCCAACGGTTATCTCTGAGGATGATGGACCTTGAGGCAAATAATTTAGGGAGTAGTGGTCCACTCTGTGGGAATTGGAACTGCTCTTTTGACGTGTAATCTGAGTGGGGCGTTTTTGCCTGCATGACGGTCGTCACAAGGTGTGGCGGTCGTCACCCGTGTGACGGTCGTCATGAAACTGTGACGGTCGTCACATCAGCAAAAACAGCTTGCTGCGCTTTTCATTGTATTTTCACTCCTTTTTCGTCCATATTTCATCTGAGATTGCTTCTTTTCTTCATGTTGCCTTGTTTAGACGTGATCGTTGAATACCTGCAAAACATCAGACAAATATACGGAAATAACCCGAAATCGGATCAAAAACGGTTAGATTTTAGTTGAATTATGCATGAAAATATCTATATGATTTCGTGTTATCATTTGTCCAGTCTGCATTGCACATTTTCCTCCCCCTGTCTACCATTAGTCCAAGTATAGAGATATCCTTCAAACTCAACTTCTTGAAGACCGCAAAATTCCAAAGCCTGTCTGCTTTAATTTAATTGGGATCCAGATTTGCAAAGACCCCCAAGCTTGTCTGCTGTACTGCTGATATTGTTGAAGTCACCAAAAAATATCATTTGATCTCCACCTTCTTCATACAAAGCCTGAACCAATTTCCACGTCTCTTTTTTATTTTCTTCCTCTGGGAACCCGTAGACCCCAGCAAAGTGCCAAGGTCTATCATCATCTTCTTGTTGATATAATCCCGCAATATGATTTTGAGAATAGGAAGTGACCTGTACTTCAGTCAAATCATTCCACCAAAGGTTGATACCTCCTGCTCTATCTCTCCCAATACCTCTGCAGTCCACAGTTGCATAAAATTTGAATATGAGTTTCCTTTTGAGAACCAATAATTCCTCTTTCTTTAGCTTTGTTTCCATCAGAAAGACCACCAGGGGGTTTTCAGAACGTAAGAGCCTTGTTAGGGCTCGAACTGCACGAGGGCTCCCCAAACCCCTGCAGTTCCAACTTATAGTCTTCATTTGGATAGGCGGTGTTGGTCCTTCAACACCACCTCTGATTGCTTTGTGTGACCTTCAATCTCATTGACCAATTGTTTCCTTTTCTTATCACCTGTTGCACATCCTTCAATTGGTCCTTCTGTTATCATTACATCCACAAGTTGTCTCTTGGTGAATTTCGGTTTAACAATCTTGCTTGTCTCCAACTTCATATTCTTAGTGTTTTCCCTCCTAGTCCACTTGCACTTCTGAACACCAACATGAATATGGATATCCTGCTGACCAGTCGTTCCTACAGATAAAACCACTGCACCTAGCGATTCTGTAACTGTTTCCACATCCACAATATTGGGTATGTTTTGATCCCCATCTGTCTTCTCTACCTCCTTTTGGTTTGGATCCATAGAATCTTGTTGAACTTCAGTATCCTCTCCTTTCCCTTTTCCTTTTGTGTCACATTTGCTTTGGCTAGAATTGACATTAAAGAGTTATTTGCTGCACAGACTGGAGTTGGATTCCTTCTTCTTTGAATCTTCCATTAGTTTTGGGAGAGGAGACACACGAAGCCATTGACCAAAAGATAAATCTTGTTCCTCCAATTCCTCAAACCCCTCTTCATTTAAATCTTCCACTGCTTCACAATCCTTGATCTGGTGTCCCATTCTTCCACACACAAAACAAAATGTGGGTAATCGTTCATATTTGAAATGCACCCTAAGGTTTTTGTCCTTGAACTTTACCACTGTCCCACGCTTCAATGGCTCTTTCAGATCCAGGGTAACCTTGAGACGCAAAAATCTACCATTTCGATGAGCTTCTTTGACATCCATTTCTCAAAGGTACCAATGATATTTCCTATTTTCTTTGTCATGGTTTGATCTAAGGATAAGCGAAAGTTCGTATATTCTTACCCAGAAAGAACCAAAGTGCATGTTTAGATCCGACAGTTATTCCTCTCCGGAGATACGATTCAACACCAACAGTGGTCTATCGAAGCTCCACGGACCAGTTATGAGGACATGCTCAAAATCACGCCTAGAGTTAAATTTAAAGAGGAACAAATTCTTACCCAGGCCCTGAATCTCAACGGGATGCTTCAGCTTCCATACATTAATCATTGTACTTTTGAAAGCTCTGGAGTTAAAGTTGCTTTCCGTCCACAGTTTTTCGGCGAGGGTTCTTTGGAAAGATTCATCCTCACAGATTTCCTCATCCTCTGCGACTAGACCTTCCCCTTTCTCTTTTGAGAGAGTAAAAGATTTCCATTTATCCATTCTGTTATCACTTAAGACGAGCCGTTTGAGCTAGAGTCAAAATAGAAAAACTCAACCTAAGGTGGGTGGAATAGAGCCAGAGATCTAGAAGTTGAAAGACCGCTATAGTCCAAGAAGGAGAAAGAGGGAAAACACGATAAGACACCGTAGAGAGAGATTCCACCTTCTTTCTAAAAGTCAAGTGGAACGATTTGTTGAACATCTAAATGACATGTCTTCTGTTTTAAATGAATGTAGCTTTTATTTCCTATAAAGAAGAAGATTATGAAAAAGAATTTTGGAGATATCAATATGAGGACCTATACTCATTAAAAGTTAAAGGTGTCCTTTAGACTTTAACAACTTTATGTTTTACTTAAGATTCCACTTATTTTATTATTCTACATTTTAGCTAAAAAAGTTATTTATTTCTCTAATGCTAAACACTATTTTTGTTCTTATTTTAGGCTGACAATAACTTTCCGCTTAAAGGAAATATATTATTTATAATGTTTTTATAGTGCAGTAGTTTTGTATATATCTGTGTTAAATCTTATAGTGCAGTAGTTTTGTATATATCTGTGTTAAATCTTGTTAAGCAGTTTCAAAAATATTAAAATGTGGTAGCGACTTCTTCATGTAAAATTTTTTAATCAGTTAAAATCTATAAACAAATGGTTTTATTCTATCGTGATTAATTTGACTTTTTAATGTTCTAAAAATCTGCTCATAAATTAATGATTCATTCTTAACAAATTTGACTGACTGTCACTCTAAAAATCAATTAATGATTCAGTCACAAGTAAGTAGGTAGAGTGATTATCAATTTAAAAATTTAAAACTGGTCATTCAATTTCTAATTTTTAGTTTAAATTATTATTATTATTATTATTTTTGGTTTTTGTTTAAATTATTTTATTTTAAAATTTGGGTAGTTGAACTCTATTATTGTTTTTAGATTTTAATTTTCTTAAATTATAAGTGATTTTTTATATTTGTTTTTTACCCATCCGATTCCTAAGTAAAAGGGTCTTAATAATCTAGAGTTCGACATATTTTAAAAATATGATAATGTATTGGATAATGTGTTAGAATATAAGTTATTGTATGAACTCTAGACTATTCTGTACATATTTTATGACAATCTATTGGTTCCTAGGTGAAACGACTTATTGTATGAACTTTAGACTATTCTGTAATATGTATTTTGTAACGTTGTATTTTATTATCATTCTGCAACATTTCTTATTTCTTATGCTGTTAGAATAAGCTTTAATAAAGTATTTATTTTTGCCTTTTTAAAAAAAATTATTGGTTTAAACCTGGCATTGAGACTAAGAATTTTTTTTTTCTGTTATAGTTGCTGTTTTAGAGCTATTGTCTATACATTTGTTGAAATTTGTTGAGATTTGAGAAGCTTCTTTTACGATAATCTTAAGGAAATAGAAATCTTATAATCCTCGTGTATTTAAAAAACTTAGTGGATTTTCCAATTTGCTTAGTTTATTAGTGTTTTTGGAAATATTCATGGTTGCTAACGAGAGGTTTGGTGCTTCATGGCTTTTAGCATTGCTTACGCACACTTTGTTTTCTTTAAGGAATAATAGCTTAATGAGAAGTGCAATTAATGTTTTTTATACTAGAAAAGTGATCAAGATATTGAGTGTTCTTGTTGCAATTGGGCTTATTGTTATTATTAGTGTTTTTAATTGGTGTGATGTTCTTGTTATAATATTACTATTGAATGGAATTGTTATAATATTACTATTGAATGGAAGGAAAAAATAAGGCAAAAATTTGCCTTGGGTATTTAACTTATTTTATTGAAATAATTAAGTCCTTTATGTTTTATTGCTACAATTTGGTCTTTTATATTAATTAACGTGTTCACCGTTTATATTTTTCACAAACTCCGTTCTAAAAACGCTTATGTGACACAAACGGTATTGATGTGTCATTTAAAAGCGCTGTGTCAACCTTGATGAATATGCATTTGTCTTATTTTAGAATGCTTAAGACTGTATAATCCCCAAATTATATTAGACAACCCTAATTTAGAGGTAGAAGCCGATGTATGCAGAGTTGAAGCACATTTCGTGAGACTACTTCTCCCCCTCCGTGAAGCTATATTGAAGGTGAAGAAACCGTGAATCTTAGGTACGTTTCATTGTATCTAAACTCATTATCTGTGGTTCTCTTTTTTTATTAGTTTATGAAAACAAAAATCTTGCATGTTAAATTTTAGGTTGATGTAATTGTAGGTCTGTTGTTGATATCAGTAACGCTAGTGTTAATTTTAGGGTCTGATGCTTATTTGCTTGTTGGGACTGTATGTTGTTGATATAAATAGGAACAAAATGGTTATGGATAAATTTTATGTTGACTTTCATCACAGGGGATATTTTGTTGATGATAAATATGCAGGAGGTGAAATGTCAATCTGGAAGTGTGATGGTGACAGATGAAGTTACTTTAAAATTTTGGGGGTTGTTAAGAGATGAAGTATCCTGGAGTTCTTGAAATGTGGTATGACTTTGTTGGAAGATTGAAGGCGCTGGAAGATGACTTTGGTGCAATAGAAGCACTGAACTAGTCCAAGACTAAGGGAAAGGTTGACATATACATAGTCCACCCTATTGATGTTTGTAATGACCAACCTGATGCCCAACTTGAGGATGTTTCTAATGACCAACCTGATGACCAACATGAGGATGTTTCTAGACCAACCTGATGACCAACCTGAGGATGTTTGTAATGCCCAACCTGAGGATGTTTGTAAGGCCCAACCTGATGTTGTTTCTAACGACTAACCCGAGGATGCTTATAATGCCTAACCTGATGACCAAACTGATAGTGGTGACAATGCATTAGGGCACTGGTTTGATGACTCAGATGATGAGGTTTTAAATGATAAATTTGACGAAGTCTTGATAGGAGAAGGAGGTTTTGTTGATGGCCAAAGTGGTCAACCTAATGATGACATACTAGCAGATGAAACACCTCAAAATAGAAAGAGGAAGGGAGGGAGACCATTTAAAGCCAATAGTAACAATGTTAGAGGAGATTAAAGGGTACCTCATTGATAGATGGACAACTAATAAATCCAAGATTGAAGATTATATTGACCTATTCTTCCAAGAATTAAAAAAGTGCTTGAAAGAAGGCAAGATATCTCAAGGTTTTTTATAGCAAGATAATTCAATAATTAGTTTTACAATATACAAATTTGTTACGATTATTAACACTAACTCAATAGATTTCATTTGTTTTAAAGGTTATCAGGTGACATGATTTATGAAGTAAGGCATACAAGTTTGACTGGAGAAAAATTCACAGTTGATCTCAAGAGGTTGGAATGCTCTTGTAGGAGTTGGATGCTCACTGGCATTCGATGCTATCATGTAATTACTTGCATTCAAAGTAGACATCAAGACCCAACTGAGTATATTCCTCCATGTTATAGGAAGGAGACTTACCAAGTTTGCTACCAACCATTCATATATCCAACAAATAGAGATAACTTATGGGATCTGACATACTTCCACCACCTTCCAGAAGAGCATTTGGGAGGCCAAAAAGAAGAAGAAACAAAGATGTTGATGAAAAGAGAAAGGATTCAACAAATGTTTCAAGAAAGGGGCAGCCAAATAAATGTTCAATATGTGGTATTTCTGGCCACAACAAATCATCATGTCCTACAAAACCAAGACAAGCCCAAAATGCCACCATTTTCCAATCATAAACTGCAACAAATGTCCAACCCCAAAATGCCACCTGTAACACCCCCTTCTATACCCCCAAATAAACAATAATATATATATAGGCACATATAAATTTTATCAGAGTATAATTTAAAATACGGTATAAAAGAAGTATGTCACATTATTACCAATAAAACACTCAACACCTGCTCTATAAAAATATGCAACAGTGGGATAGTTTTCAAAGTAGAGGAACTTAGTCCTTAAACCCCCATCTCAATATTTAAAATTAAAGCGGAAGATTAAAACACTTAAATTGCCTTAAAACATTTGATCACATAAATACATGTTATCCAGTTTGGTTGATCAATCGTTCATGTTACAAAACATCATCAACTGATACATCACAAAGGTATCACAAAAGAATGCTATACAAGCCTAACTACCCGGTGTTACATTATCAGAGCAGTCCGACTCAAATGAATGAAGCTATACTTCACAAAAGAAACCTCCAGCAACCTAATTTGCAATGCCTCATAGAGTATTATAAAACAGCAGAAGGGTGAGAAATATTATCATAATAATCAATGCATAAGATTATATATATATATATATATATATATATATATATATATATATATATATATATATATATATATATATATATATATATATATATATATATATATATATATATATATATATATATATATATATATATATATATATATATATATATATATATATATATATATATATATATATATATATATATATACACAAGTAACAATTACATATAATCCACATTTCTCACCACAATTCATTTTCGTAGTCATATACATCTCATCATACATATGAACAAATATGGATATTCATCTAGCATATCTCATCATGCACAATTCACAAGTATCCAATATACATTCACCCACAAGCATATTTCATATATCAATGACATTTATGCTATGTGACTCCAAAACAACTCAATGCAACTCAATGCAATGTGGTGCCAACACTTGTTATCATTTTTCGGTTTTTACACTTAAATCGGGTCCACCCTTCTAGACCGATAACAACAAAGCCCGTCCCCTAGGCTTCAAACCCACCCTTCTAGGTTTGGGACAAACCACTAGTCTCCACGAAACTAGCAAACATTGCCTCTTGACTAAATGATGCATATGCAATCAACCAACAAAAATGCACTTAAGACCGTTCCCGCGTCTTAATCCCATGCATTCAAATAATTCATCCCTTCAAGAATTACAATATGATTGCACACACAACATATTCATAACAATTCAAGGCATTCACATTCAATACCAT